GTCGCACCCAAGTCAGCCCCTGGGATATTGTATTAGCCTCAGCTCCAAGGAAGGTGACCTGTCAATGCCCCATGGAAAGAATCCAAGTCATTCAGATTCCCCTGTCTCCCAAAATGGGTCCCTAAAGCCAGAACCTCTCCATGCTTACGTGCCACGCCGGGGATCCTAGGTTCAGGAGCTCACATCTGCCCACGCGGACCAGCGTCCACCATTAGTGTCCTAAGTGCTAGGTGGCGGAGTCTACCAAACTCAAGATCCAATGGTTTTTAAGATTAATCAGAAAAACCCCTGAATGCAGTGACATTTTAAAAGAAAGTTGGCTTCCTTAATACTGAAGAACAAATTAAAACAATTATATCAAGGAAAAAAAAATCCTTAGGCCCACCTTAAGAATTAGGATTAAATGGTACATATTTACTACAGGGCAACAGGCCGCCTTAGAGTCTGCAAGCAGCTGCCCCCTCTCTGCCATTTCTATTCACGCCTGCCAGATAATTCCCTAATCTCTGCCTCCTCAGATCCTACCAGGCTGCCCTTGGGAATGAGCTGAGGGTGGACAAATCTTTCGCTGAAGCATTCCTGTGCCCCGGTAGCCACCTCCCTCCTCATGACCCGTGCCTGCGCTCCTGTTCCTTTATGGCACTGTCACTGCCTTCAAGGGTACGTGTGGATTGTCATAATCTTTCACAAAGAAGACACTTTGTATAAGAGAGATATTTTTAAAAGGTCTTTGTATGCGTATTCTTCCCTAAAGTTACTAATAGCAGCATCACTATTGAAAATTTCGAGAACATTATATAATAAGATGACATTATCTGACTACTGTACAATTCTCCTATACAGAAGCCCTCCAGGATAATTTTTAAAACCCTCCCAGTAGTTTTCAAAGGCAGCAAAAGACAAAAAAAAAAAATTTAAATATAATGAGAAAACTGTGAGCTAATACTATATCTTAACTAGTTGCCATGGGGTTGATTCTGACTCATGGCAACCCGACATGTGTCAGAGTAAAACTGCACTCCACAGGGTTTTCACTGGCTGTGATCTTTTGAAAGTAGACTGCCAGACCTTTCTTCCGAGGTGCCTCTGTGTAGACTCAAACCTCCAACTTTGCGGTTAGCAGCTGAGTGAGCTAAGCGTTTGTGCCACCCAGGGACTCCAGAGTGTATCTTAACATGTGTGGAATCCTTTTCATTGGGGAATGAAAGGTGGCTCCTCACGTAGATGAAACAGTCTATGGAGCAGACTTTACCACAAGCGGGCTCTGTGAAATGGTCACATTTCTGTGGCGCTCTGGGCCAGTCTCCGCTTCTAAGGGAGAAATAGGCCAGCAAAGTCTAAGCGACCGCCAGTTAATAACCAGCAAAGCAGGAAAAATCGGATCCTGCCTCCAGCGAAAGTTCTAGGGGTCAGAATAAAGAAGCCATGCATTGAAAGGCAGACCGCTTGGGGTGACTGCTTTTCCTTCCTTGCTTATTTACACATCTTTCATCTCACCTCAGCTTGTTAAAGGGGACAGGATAGACAAACTTGGACTCCAGCTACTGATCACAGCACGGAAGACCCAGTGCCGTTCTTGACTGCAGTGTATGGTTTAAGGCTTGGTTGAAAAGAGAAACCAC